TTTATTTTTTTTTTTTAATAAACAATGAACACAAAAAAATTTCCCTTAGACCAAGAGATCCAGCATTTTTGACATATTGAACAATAAATGTATGAACAAAATCGGGTCGCTTCAAGAGGATATCGATTTGAAGCAGAAGAAAATCATTGAACTGGAAGCAATACTAAAAGCTGCGGCAAAAACTAATGTATCAGATGTAATCGACCAAGACAAATTTGATTTTCAACATTCTCTTCAACTCTGCAAAAGCCATTTATTTCTATCTAATGAAAAGTTTCATAAACTAAAGCTATTGAACTTAAGAGAAGTCCAGAAGATTCTTGAGGTCAAGAAAAAAATGCATGGTGAAACAGATTCCAATTCATATGAAAAGCAAGTGATTGAAAAAACTGCTTGGTGTGAGAAATGGCAGAGTATTAAAATCAAAGATACGACACGCACAATACGCGAATGGAAAGCAGTAAAAGCTGATTTCAGTAAAGTAAATGAAACACTAGTACAGTGCCAAAAGCAAGCTTACAGCCAAGTGGAGGAATTTCTATCCATTGTCAGAGAGCTGATGTCAAGGGTGTATACTGTATTTGTAAAATACATCAACAAAATAACCCAGTATAACAATATATGCGAGTCGGATGTCGCGGTACCTGGATGGATTGTGATACAGCGGCGCATATTAAGACCGAACGCAGAGAACTTTACCCGGAATTGGCAGGACTATAGGCAAGGCTTTGGACGGTCGGCTTCGGAGTTTTGGCTAGGACTAGACAACTTATATCGGTTAACACATCTGCACCGTTACGAACTCGCTATTTTGTTTGTGGACCAAAATGACCACCAATATATGGAGAAATACAATGACTTTGTAATTGGCGGTGAGGAGGACAATTTTAAGATAGTTTCACTGGGAAATTATTCGGGCCCACTTGGTGGGGGCTTGCGAGACCGTATCGGAGTACCTTTCTCTACATACGATAGAGTCAATGCTGCACCGAATGAGAGTTGCTCTGGGAAATACAAAGAGGGCTGGTGGTATACAGACTGTGAGCATGGGTAAGTCAAGCGTAAAGCATAAAGCATATAATGGTTAAGGCTTTCATTCTCATATTCCTTTTATTATCTAGTAACCTGAACACAGACTTTAGCTCATGTGACCTTGGAAAGCCTTCCTCGGATTTAAGCCCTGCCTGTACATTTTCGGGATTTTCCATATTTGTCCCCAAAAGAGTGCAGATGATGATACGCTATTATTTCCCATAATCTTGTCAATTTGGCCAAAGGCGAATATAAAAAGGACATTCTTTCTTGAAGCTTGAGATGATAAGAGTGAATATCTTTTTAATTATATAATTGAAATAAAATTTTTATCAAATTAATCTTATATATAGTTTTTATACTCGTTAATGAATTAAATGAGTATTTATGAACATCTAGTAGTAAGTAGTACTTTAATGGACGTCCATCTTTCTCCCCAACCGATGGGTATTTCAGACCTGCGAGTAAGATTTTTTGAAAACGGGAAATTGGAAATGTCTTTGCCCTTAAGCTGTTATTGATCCTGTAGACTTGAATATAACGGCGAATAGGAAATTACTATACTTTCCACAGTATTCATGCTAGCACCTCAAAACGTTAGTCAGTCTGTGGTAAATTCTAAAGAACGGAAAGAGAATATTGAGCGGGATCTGAGAATATTGAGCTATGAATAAATTCAACTATTTTTGGATTGCAGGCAAGCTTCTTGTTACATATTGCAACTGAAGTTTCTATTAGTTTTCTGTGCGGAATATTTTCCGTATAAATTTAGCTATATAAAATATATTACACACACAAACATTAAATGAACCCTACTAAAAATTAAGAAACCAAGTTAAAAGGAGTTTAATAAAAGGACGCAGATGCACGCAAGAACTACCTATACGTGCAGGTGTTTATGAAACAGTAGTTGAGTAGGTAGTCAGCTCTACGCCTTCGCTTGGTAAAGTCAGTTAAGGATACGGCCTGGAAGTCATGCTCGATGACATTAAGTAAGATCATTTGCTGTTGATAGTGGTCCTTCTGGCTGCCAACGCCCACACAGCCAACTGGACGTGAGTTTGAGTTATGTGAGTCCAGTGTTGGATAGCGCTCACAGCTCACAGTACTTGTCCGAATGTTAATGGCCTTGCGTTGAGCGCGCCTAAGCATGTGCTTCGATTTATTGTCCATGTGTGTCCTGCGGCCAGAGGCTCCGACTGCTTGATCAAGATATGAAATCCGTGTCGTCATTAGTAAGCTGACAAGGGCGTATCAAGGGTTTGTTTACTTACGGCCATGCACTACGATACTCTGCTCTTTGCCATAAGGTTTCATCTTGAATGCTCCTTCATGACTTTATTGGAGTATATTGATTTCATGCCCATGAATTTGCAGCTTTTTAAATATATGAAAAATATGCCTGCCATAGCTGAAGAAGATGTATATGATAAATCCGATAAATGCCTTTTGTTGGCTTTCAAATACACTTACCTAACTGCATACCCTGAGCAAGTATTATGCCATCAGTCACCACAGCCTTGCTTACTTTTAGGTACTCTAACGAAGCCTTCGAGTCGGATCAGACTTTTCATTCTTCTCCTGCCTTCGGCTCGCTGTCCTCTGTTCATTTATACAACTAGAAGGACGCTTGGCCGTTCAATTGTGCGGCATACCGCAGCAAAAGAATATATTTATTTATTATTGACAACAGGACAGGACTCCAAGGAGCTGTCCACAGTGGGCGAGGCAGTTGGCATGGCCAGCTAAAGCTCTTTGGACTGGGCGTAAGTGCTTCGCTTCGCTACTTATGAGATACTTCGGACCGCAGCGCGTGCAACTATTTACTTCGTTATGGCAACTCGAGAATGTTCACTCTTTCGCAAGGGAAACTGCAACTGCAGCCTGCATAATAAAGCGAGCCCAGTCATAAATCCTAGGGCACGCGTTGCCGCACGTAACTGAATTTTCTTGAATTTTATTTAAGGTAAGCTCGAACAGAGCGAGCGGAGAGCTCTGATCCAGCTAGTTAAGTTTGCATTGATTATATTATAGAAATATTGAGTCAGGAACCTAGAGACGATATTCTGGAGGATAAGCCACTTAATTAGGGGTATTAAAAGTTCTTCAGATTTGAAAACTGTTGGCAAATGATTTGGAACTAACATGCAAATCCTTGAGAAAGATTTATTCGCCTTCATATTTAAGAGAGAAATTTCCATAGCATCCCAGGTAAAAACAATTTATTTTGCAAATTTAGTCTTGTTCGATTTGAGAGTGCGCCAAGGGCATTTTGTAAAAGAAGACTAGAATGAGATATATCTCCAAAGTCGAGAGCGGCGGATTGCTTTGTCTTCAAACAGTCTCACCGACGGAACAGTTTAAAAGTCGCTTCCAAAATGTATTTAAATGCAAAGATAGATAAGAAGTTTAAGTTTAAAGTAGTTTTTTTTTGTAACATTCGAGGACTGCAGCCATTTACTGGCATCAATCCCAAAATCGGTTCGTAAATGATATGCTATAGAGCAGCTGTGATGCGAATCTTTGAAAGAGATGCGCGCGACTCGATGTCAAGCAGCGAAAAAACAAAAATCACTTAAGTTCGATTGCAATGATACGGGCCGCGCACTTGGGCGTGTTTGGCGTCGTAAATTGATATTTGTCCACGCTCAGCGTTGAGTCAGAGCTCAGTTCTAACCACGCTCTGTAATGATGACATAGAGCAGCATGAAGTACGAAGCAGTCGCAGTCGCAGTGGATTCCCCCCTCTCAGTTGATCCTAATCGCATTTGGGCAACTAGGTAGGTAAGGCCCTACCTGTTCCGAGGGATAACCACAAATTGTTTGCTGCTGCTGCTTGTTGTTGTTGTTGTTGCTGTTGTTGCTCTTCTCTTTCAATAAATTTCGTGTGCGTTTACAGATTCACATCAGCAGGCGTCTATGTCCTTTTGCGTTTGTCTTAGGCCATTGTCAACGGCTCATTGTCAACGAAAGGGGCCTGACTCACGTAGTCGTGTGTGCGTGTGTGTGTGGACCCAAGCCCAAAACAAATTTCGAGGCCTGGCCCTGAGACCAACCGCCAAGCCAAATTTCAGCGTTGAGCGACATTGTCTATATCTCTTCAGGTTTTTTTGTTCTTGCTGATATCGATCATTAGATAGTTGCCTATTGTTGTTTTTCCCTATCTACACACACGCACACACACTACGTGTGTCCTATGTCATCAATTATTATGTAAGTTTTCCTCATCTTTGAGCACTGCTCTCTTGGGCATTCGTGGAATCCGCGCCAGGACAGCGACATGACCACATGATTTACTAGAAATATTTAAGGCGTGTGTTTGTATTCATTTTCCTCTCTTCTAATTTCGCTTGACAGTGTTTGAATACACGTTTGTTGTGGGGGGAATTTGTTTGGACCGTCAACACATCAAGAGGCTCAATATTTGTTGTGGGTCAAATACTCCAACTTAATTAATAGTGGTTCAAGAGAACATGGTTTAGGAATTTTTAATAATAATTCTGAATGAAATGAATAAGAATATAAGCATTTTAAATATTTTCCGAAAGAAACTATCTATCTATAAGGAGAAAATGTATTTTAATATGTATTACTTTGAAGAAACAATAAGGAACTATTCTCCGGGAGGTGCACAAATAACGTCAAGTCTCATTCTCGCAACTTTTGGTTCTTCTTCGATTGCTGCCCATCGGAATACCATGATCAAGGCTAGAGTTGGCCATATCGAACCACAATGGATTCCTACTGAATTTGGCATTATATCCTCTTTAAATCAGTTAAAGTTGCTCTATTGAGTATATATTTGTTCTAAATATTCTTTCTGGCACATAATATATGTATATCTTATTAGATTTGAGTCAAATCGAATTCCCAATTACACACCCGTATCCCTCGTTAATCTAACGACTATTTGATACGCTAACTGCCAACCAGATTTAATACATTTCACTCCTATCAACTGCAATCGAAAGTAAATAAAATAAATATTAATCAGAGAAGAAAGTTTTGGCTGGGAGTGTCCAACTAGCAGATGCACAAAGCTTTAAGCAGCGCTGCTTCACTAACACCAGCATATTCCCAATCAATAAAGTAATAATATCAATTTTGATTATTTAATGAGATATGGAAATGAAAACGATATCAACTTCAAAGTTCACACCAAGTTTTTATAGATTTCCAGATTAAATATTATACATTTAATTTCAATTTCATGGGGCATAACTGGAGCAGAATTGTTTTCTCTGGCATTTGGCAATGTCTGCCTGATTAATGTTTACAGTCACACCTACTCAATTACAGAGGTGCCAATATATATGTATACAGAAAAAGAAAACGAAGCAAAAATTTAAAAATTATACTTTACACCTGCAACGCGCAGTAAAATCGCAAGTCAGGCCAAACGAAAACGAGAACGAAAACAAAAACGAAAAGGCGAAAAGGCAAAAGGTGGCCTGAGCAGGAAGCCATAAATAACAAATACGAGAGTACGAAAAGCCAGTGGAACGCATAAAACATATCATTTGATATAATTTCTAACACACTCCTAAGTCGCCGTCATAGTTCCAGTCGAAGGTCTCTCCTTCCAATGCCTGACTCATTCTTGCACTCGCTCGCTGCAGGTGCAGCAGCAGCAGCAGCAGCTCAGAGTTTGTTGATTGGCCTCCATTTAACGCTGCGTGAAGCTGGCTGGGTAGACGCCTCTGGGCAGCAGCCTTTCTAGGCGTTAACTGTAATTCGTTGGCTGCCCAGCAGGAACTGCCACCTTTGCCGGCAACAGAAGCCACGCTCAACAGGGCTGTAGTCGGGTCTCTCTCTCCCTCCCGCTCTCACTCATGCGTTCGCTTTGTAATTATGGGTTCGCATATTCTTTAATTAAAAAGGCTCAAAACAGAGAACCGTTTTATACGAAATCCTTGCTTAACACCTTGCGAGCTCTGGCGCCGGCGGCCAATTAAAAAAAAAATGATTGCTCGAAATCGTAGTTTATAATGTTTACGGGCCCAGAAATCGAGCCTTGTTTGATGTGTGAAACAGCGGCCTACAGATGTAGAGGATAATTTAGCACACGATATTCGGGTTTTCCATTTAAGCCACCAATTCAACAGATATTTTTCACGTTTTGTTGGTTTGAAAAAGTAAACTTAAATAGGTGAAGATAAGTATGATGAACTGAACTGAACATACAAAAAAAAAAGTGAATAATAGTAATATTAAGTCTCAGAAATTAAAAAAAAAAGACTACGGTACTATTTTATTTAGTAAAATATATATCAT